CAGCTCAACGCTGACCTGCGCAAGCGTGGCCGGCAACATGGTGCCCTTCCCCCGCCTCCACTTCTTCATGCCCGGCTTCGCCCCCTCACCAGCCGGGGCAGCCAGCAGTACCGCGCCCTCACTGTACCCGAACTCACCCAGCAGGTATTTGATGCCAAGAACATGATGGCTGCCTGCGACCCCCGCCACGGCCGCTACCTCACCGTGGCTGCTGTCTTCCGTGGGCGGATGTCCATGAAGGAGGTGGACGAGCAGATGCTCAATGTGCAGAACAAGAATAGCAGCTACTTTGTGGAGTGGATCCCCAACAACGTCAAGACAGCTGTCTGTGACATCCCACCCCGGGGCTGAAGATGGCGGTCACCTTCATCGGCAACAGCACGGCCATCCAGGAGCTGTTCAAGCGCATCTCGGAGCAGTTCACGGCCATGTTCCGGCGCAAGGCCTTCCTGCACTGGTACACGGGCGAGGGCATGGACGAGATGGAGTTCACCGAGGCCGAGAGCAACATGAACGACCTGGTGTCTGAGTACCAGCAGTACCAGGACGCCACGGCCGAGGAGGAGGAGGATTTTGGTGAGGAGGCCGAAGAGGAGGCCTGAGGCCGCGCCTGCACTCCGCTTCTCCGCTCCCTCAGCCTTTTTCCTCAGCTGCCCCTTTCGTCTCCCTCAGAATTTGCATTTTTGCCTTTTTTTCTTTCTTTTAGGGGTGTTCTAGAACAATGCCTGGCACATAATAGGGCTCAATAAATATTCATTGTTTCTTGAATGTCTCCTCTCTTGTTCCACACCGGGAAATCTATATTTCTGGCATTCTGCTGGGTAACTTTTATTTCCTTCTGGTGCCTATTTCCTCCTATCCAGTTAAATTTTATATATATATATATACACAGGAGGGGTCCCTAGGCCTGGCCGGTGGGGGTGTGAGGGTGGGGGAAGGGACTGTGGGAGGGTGGCTGTGGGACTGCACTGACCATCAGGGGGCAGCAGCATCTGCCTGCTGGTGGTCAGTGTGCGTCATAGCGTTCAGTTGACCCGTTGTAACAGTGGCTTAGGCTTTTATATATATAGATTTTTTTAAAATGGTTTTTTAGAGAAAGTGAGAAACATTGATGTGAGGACATAACATGGATCAGCTGACTCCTGCATACCCCCTATCAGGGACTGAGCTTGTGCTCTTGACCTCAAATCAAACCAGCAACCCTTCCATGCATGGATGATGCCCAACCAGCCGAGCCACACCAGCCAGGGCCCAGTTACTATTTTCCTGTTTTCAGCATAATTATCCAAGAAAGCTGGATGTCATCCAGGTCCCACTCAGACCTGTACTGAAAACACCCCCCAAGCCCGCAGGCAGCCATGGGAAAGAACCACGCTAACCAGCCAGCTGAGGTTCCTATGAAGAGTGGGTGGCGTTCTCCCGTTTTGGAGAAGGGGATTCAGGTTGTTTGAGTCCTAGTTTCCAGGAATGTGTTCCTGCTCCACCGTTAGCTTTGGGGGAGGCATTAACAGTATTATCTCCATTTTCAGTCGAGCTGTTTCCTTTGCAGGGTCTGCCCCACTCCATCCAGTAGGATCCTTCCCTCTTCCACTTTACCTCCACCTCACATGGAATCCCTTCCTTCCTCTGCATGGAGAAGGGGTTCCAGGGAGAACCAGGACCCCTCTGTCCCTAAGCCTCCTGAAAGGTCCTCCCCATCACCGTTTCTTACCCAAAGAGGAGTATCGGTCCGTGTATGAAAGGTACACACTGTCGCCGAGATGTTGGAGTCATTCCTCGAGGAGAGGGGACAGGACACCTTTTGTCTTTTGGTAACATTTCTTTTGTTACTGCCCACCCCCTCCCCCACACACACCTTTGGTTTTGTCCTATCCACACTTAAAATTTCTGTTGCGTTGAACTATTTTTTCATATTGAAAAAAATGACATTGCCCCCAAAGCCAAAAATACATGGGAATTGAAAAATATTTGCAAGACGTGTGCTCACTTAGCTGACTGGTTCCCTTACACATGTATTCTGTTCTCCGCGAACGGGTGAGGAAACCCTTAACTGACACTCAGGTCTCCATCCCTGGTACCCACCCCACCCCCAGCAGTCTTAACTAGAGTGGGCATAAGCGCACATACTCGGGCAGCATGTAGGAATTGAAATGGACTGAACCCAAACCAGGTCGGATCCCAGCAGTCTCAGCTGCTCCAGAAGAAGCATGAATGAGTTAGAACAGTGGTCGGCAAACTCGTTAGTCAAGAGCCAAATATCAACAGTACTTCTTCAAAATAGACTCGCCCAGGCCCCAAACCGCCTTCTGCGCATGGGCCACGAAGTTTCAATCGCACTGTACGTGCACGCCCGCACGTGGTATTTTGTGGAAGAGCCACACTCAAGGGGCCAAAGAGCCGCATGTGGCTCGAGAGCCGCGGTTTGCCGACCACTGAGTTAGAAGGCCACTGCTGCCCATCCTCCGCGCACAGCACCCAGGATTCCTCGGGTGGTATGCAGCCACGTGGGTTTTCTCAGACAACCTAAGATGAAGGTAACGAGCATGGATGCCACCCATGGGCCTATTCTAAACACTGCTGCTCTATTATGTCCTTTTGTTGAAGATTTTTTTATTGATTCCTAGAGAGAAAGGCAGGGAGAGGGAGAAACATCCTTGTGAGAGTGGAACATGGACCGGCTCCTGCGTGCCGTCCTGGGCTGTGCCCGGGGGGTGCACGCGGCGACCTCGGGGTGCACGGGGTGACACGGAACCAGCCGAGCCACTCTGGCTGCGCACTATCTCATACTTTTAAGTTGCACAAAATAAGTCTCAAAGTTACCTGGAAATTTAAGTCCATTTCCCTTGGCCAATTTTCAGTAATTCTAGGGACTAATGCAATTCTTACATTCCTTCCATATCAACATGCTTTCTGACTAAAGCAGTGGTTGGCAAACTCATTAGTCAACAGAGCCAAATATCAACAGTACGATTGAGATTTCTTTTGAGAGCCACATTTTTTAAACTTAAACTATATAGGTAGGTACATTGTTATTAACTTAATTAGGGTACTCCTAAGCTGGCCTTTGCTAAAAACGTCCTCAATCTGATTGAGGTACGTTCGCTGAGGTTGACCCCTTCCAACTCTCCCATCCACACTCGTCTTGTATACATCTAAAAAAATGTTTCATTTTATAATAAAGCCACCAACACAAAATAATTACAATTCTTAAATTGATGACAAAAATACCTGTAGGATTTGCAGCTCGTTGGAAAAATACAGGTAACTTTATGCTTCGAGTAGGTACTTTTGTGCACGATTTGCAGACGCGACTAGCACTAACCACTGCACGAGACTGCTGACTGACTGTCTCAGTCAACTCGTGCATGAATCGCGAGCGCCTCCCCTGCGCTGAGTATCCCGCGGCCGCCTGTGCCGTGTCTCCCGTTGCCCGACCGACCGACACCCCCCACTTCTTCTAACGCCACTTCTTCAAATAGACTCGCCCAGGCCGAGAACCAACTTCTGCGCATGGGTCACGAAGTTTCAATCGCACTGTACATGCACACCCGCACGTAGTATTTTGTGGAAGAGCCACACTCAAGGGGCCAAAGAGCCGCATGTGGCTTGAGAGCCACGGTTTGCCGACCACTGGACTAAACCAAGATTTTTGGGGGGAGTTAATTCCACAACCCCTCAGTGTACAAGTAACTTTCTCCCATTCTAAAAAGCTGACTGGAAGGAAGCAAGCTGTGTTCTAATATTCACTTCAAGTGAGTTCTGTTTTACCTTCACTGTTCACAAGTGTCAAGGCTTAACAGCAATTTATCCGGCAAGTTGAGAACCTGCAGCTATCCCTCAGTCTTGATCAGAAAACAATTTTGGGCCACAGGCTCAGTGTAGTTTAATTAGGAAACTAAACAAGCTGGGTGGAGTGGGATGATCGGACAGCTGGCACGGAACCCTTGGGGGACTGGCAGTCTTGGTGGTGTGGGCCCGGGCAGGGGGCAAGGCACGGCTATTTGGCAAGGAGAGGTGAGCGGTGGAATCCCACGGCCCAAGGACGTGCTCTGGGAGGCCAGCTGACATGCATGCAGCATGGGGTCGTTCAGGCAGCTTGAACCATTGGCGAGGCATCGGCGAAGGCTGAGGGCTCAGGCAGTTCGCAAAGGCTTGTGGTTCACCTGGTAAAAAAGACGACAGCGGGTGACACGGGAACTTCCCTCACGCTCCGTTTGGAGGAATGCACACCCAGAATTTTTCTAGTTTTTTCTTTTTCCCCAGTTACAGTTTACATCCAATATCATTTGCATGAGTTCCAGGCAGAGGGCACAGTGAGGGGTCCGCTCGCTTTCCGGCAGCCTACCTCACCCCCTCGCCCCGCAGTGACTTACTGAACGGGTGTGGGCGGGGCCAGAGCGGGGCTCGAAGACCCAACCCTCCACTGCGGGCCTCCAGGAGGCTCCGAGGCACCCCCGGAAGTGGTCCGATGCTTTTCCTTATACGTGAACTTCTCTGTTTAACACACTCGTATATGGCACCTACTACGTACCAGGCAGTGCTCTAAACACTTTGCAAATACAGTAGGTCCTCGGGTGACGTTGGAGATCCGGAGATCCGTTCCTACGGTGCGACTTCGCCATCAGTCGGAACCCACCCATGTAAGCACCTACCTCACTCACATGGAGCACAGGCACAGCCGTAATGAATGAAACAGTAAAAAAAAAATTAAAAGATAATAAATAATAAAAAACATAAAGCACATATGTACATACGTCGAAATGATGGAACTTTTTTTTATAAATAAATGGGAGATGGCGACATAACCACGAAACAACATACGTCGAGTCCGACGTAACCCGAGGACTGCCTGTATTACGCATTTAATCCCTGTAACAATTCAACAGGTAGTTGCTATTATTAAGCTGTGAGGAGACATGTACAGAAGTTGAGAACGTCTCCGATCACGGCACGCACTAGGATTTGCACCCCAGCAGGTGTCAGAGCCGCTCTCTGACCTCTACCATAACCTCCAAGTGAGTCAACAGGCCGAGAAAAGCAGTGATATGCCTTGGAATTAACTGTCAACAGACTCCCAGCTCCTGTGCTGGACAGGGGCTGGGCGGGAAGCTGGGCGGGAAGCTGGCTCCCCAGCTGCATGGCGTGGGTCACGTTGCTAACACGTTGGCGTTCAGCTTCTCTGCTTTGTAAAGCACTACGTACCTCGGGGGTAGTTCCATTAAAACATTCTTTTATAAAAAAAATTCACGTCGAAGCTGAGCACTGGCACAGAGAGAGCACTAACACACGTCCAGTGCAGGGCGCGGCAGGGCCGGAGCCTCACCTGGGAGATGCTGACGCCCGTGAGTCTCTCCACGCTCTCCGGCAGGCGGCTCAGGATGTCCAGGACTTCCCCCGTCACTTTGGCCGCTCCCACGGCCCCACTCCCACTCGACACCAGTGTGATCTTTTTGGTCGAGGTCAAGGGACCACTGATCTCCTCTGCCACCTGCGGGCGAGACGTCCACTCAGCCTGTGACCGATCACACCCTCCTACAAGGCTTTTCCCTGGGGCTTTGTGAATCCTCATCTGAGGACATTTTCCCATTGATTTTTAGAGAGTGGACGGGAGGGGGCAGAGAGAAACATCTCGACTGATGGCCTCCCGCACGTGTCCTGATAGCCGGGGGTCAAACCTGCAACCCAGGTACCTGCTCTTGACCGGGAATTGAACCCACGACCCTTGGGTGCATGCTCTTGCCACTGAGCCACACTGGCCAGGGCTGCCCTGGGTCTTTTAAGGTCCCGTCTTACAGATCATCCTTTTTCACTTGGGTCGTTGGCTTATAACTCCCCTCCCTAACTCACGGTCCCTGGCCTGGCTCTGGTGACACCTGGCACACGGCCTGACCTGCGGCAGCTTCTCCAGCAGCATGTCCAGCTGAGCAGCCTCCTGGTACAGCTGGAACGCTTCTGCCTTCTTGGCCATCTGTTCGGCCTCAGCCCGGGCCCGGGCCCCAATGGCGAAGGCCTCGGCCTCCCCCCGCATCTGGGGAGGGCACAGGACACTGCGATGTGAAGGGAGCCGGTGAGGGTGAGAAACCCCAGCTCCGCAGCAACACCTCCAAACTCACCCTCACAGACTCTGCTTCGGCCTCCGCCTGCATGATCTGCTGGGACCTGGGCAAACGGGTGCAGAGGAGTGAGGCCCCGGCTGCAGGGGGAAGGCCCGAGCGGGGTGGAGGCTCCTTCCACCTGAGCTCCACAGGAGGAGTCCAGGTGGTGAAGACCTCGGCTCTTTATCTGGGGGCGCCCGGTGGGAAGGGGCGGGAGGGGCGGCGGGGGAAGGGCGTTTACTTCTCAGCCTCCGCTAGGCGCTCCAGCCGGTAGCGCTCGGCTTCCGCCGGCTTCCGCACGCGGGCCTCCAGCTCCTTCTCCCGGCGGGCAATCTCCTGCTCCTGCACTGCCACCTGCTGGGCCCGCTCCACCACCTGCACCTGCACCCGCTGCTCCTCGATCTGCTGCTTGGTTTTGGCCACCTGGGAGGGATGCTCGGCGTCAGGGCGAAAGGCAAGTGCCCAGGACTAGGGAGGCCAGGGCAGGGCTCCGGGCGGGGTAGGTGGAGTGGTCCCAGGACAGTTCCGCCGGCCCCGTGGAGTCCGTTTCTTATACAGACCCACGCATGCACGGCTCGATCCTCCTCAGAGCGCGCACCCAGGACCAGGACTCCCAGGCAGCCTGTCCGAGCTGGACAGGGCGGGGACCCAGTGGCCTCGCAGGCAGGCAGGCCGGCCGCAGTCCCTCCAGGAGCTCCCACGGACTCGTTTCCCACCATCTCTCCCTCTAGTGTGAGCACCTGGTGGCATGAGGGCCACCCGTCTGGCTCTCTCCACCCCTCTCTCCACCTTAGTGCAAGCCACCCACTGCGCCCACTCCTGCAACAGGCTCCTGCTTCCCTTCCAGGGGCTGTGCGTGGGTGCCTTTTCACTTTTATTTTTGCATCTGGTACAAAATCAAGAGAGAAAAGCACACGGTGAGAAGTCAGGCTTCCAATATTTCTGCAAACGACCTGGTTCCCTCCCTGAAAGCCACCAGTGCCCAGCGTCCTGCGTACCTTTCCAGGGGCACTCGGCAAGCATGCGCAGGAACCTGCATACAGATGCCTCTTATTTAGGCGGATTTCAGCTCTTCCTCCTGGCATCCAGGGAGCAGAGCGCCCTTGCTGGATGTCAGCGAGGAGGTGCAGGGAAGGAGACAACGTCCTTCCGTCTCGGTGCTCCAGCCCCGCCATCACCATCATGGCTGGGGTGTCCCTGCCTGGACTGGCCCCACCTGAAAATGTCAAGCCTTTTCCAAACTGGACTTGTTGCTCCCGGGCAGCGTAAGGCCACCTTCCGGAGGACTCCACCTCCAGCCGCTTCCTTGGACGAGTCTGTGGGCGGTAGGTTTTCTAGGCCCGCCTTCTCAGACTTACTCTGCCCTGCTATTTGAATTAGTGAGGCTGAGTACAGTTACTATGTTGAAACATTCTCATCAGAATTTTGAAGGCATTGCTCCATGGCCTTCTAACTTCTTAAGAAATCTAGTCATTTTGATGCCTGACCCTTTGAGAAAAGTTCTCTGGAAGCTTCTGGATCGTTTCTTGTTCTCAGGGATCTGACATTTCAGTGATGTGTTTCAATATAGATGTTTTTCACTAATTGTGTTGGGCACTTGGTGGGTTGTTTCAATTTAGAAACTCACACCCTTCAAAACAGATCAACATTTTGTAAATTTTTCACTTGGTTATTTCCTCCCCCTTTGTCTGTTGGAGCTGCTGGCCTGGCCGCTCCTCCACCCATCTGTTCTTTCTGTTTTTCTGGGGAGTTTTATTAGAATTTCTCTTCCAACGTGATTTGGAAATTTATGCTATTTTATTACTTCCCCCCTTTATTGAATTTATTGGGGTTTATTAATTTCTAAGAGCTGTTTCTTGTTTTCTGTTCTATCTCCTGACTTCCTAGATGTGGATCCTTCTTTTATCTCACCGAGCACATTTATTTTTTCAAAAGCTTTCTTTTCCCTGCATAGCCGTCGCTTCCTCTTGGCCTTGCTGTCTCCCACTCAGACAGGTGCCCTTGGCTGTCTGCTCACAGCCAGAGGCTGACGCACTGGGAGCAGCTCCGGGTTGTGGGCGGGGCCTGTGGACAGAACTTCACTCTGGGCGGCCGGGGCAGGCCACCAGCCCGGAAACCTCGGCTCCTCGGCTCCGGGAGCCGATCCGGGATCGTTAAGTCTCTCCCTTGGGGCGGCCATGTTCCCAGGACAGAGCTCTGGGAGCCGAGTGGCCGGGGCGAGAAGGGGCCAGCATGTGGCACACGACAGGTGCATAGTCCGCTCACGGCCCTGCTGCCGGGCCAGGTCCTCGCCTGTGTCCGCTGCCCCACGTCACACCCTCTGGTTTACTCTCACCAGACAACCCCCCAGATGTCTGCTGGGCAGGGAGACCAGGAAAGGGACCCACAGGCAGGGAGTCAGCAAGGGAGTCGGAGAAGTGGCTCTTCACCTGTTTTTACTGATTGACAGTCTTCAGGCCACGGCTGCACCAGCTCCTGAGCCTCAGACACGGCGCCTGTCAGCCCTGCTCAGTTAACGACCATGCTTTCCAGCTTCCAAAGTGATGCTACGGTGGCCATTCCTCCCTTTCTTCTCTCTCAAAATCACTCTATGTGGTTGTAATGAGGTTTTAGCTGCATTTATTCAATCCATCATCTTTGAAAAAGCTTCCAACTCGTCTCCCTACTGCCTTTCTTCTGACAATCGATTCTCCACACAGCAGCCAGTCTGATCCTTATACAAACATAAACTGAACCACAGCACCTCTCTGGTGCTTTGAGTCTCTTCTAAGTGTCCACCATGGCTCCCCGAGCCCTCCGTGACCTAGCCTGGCCTCCTCTCCCTCGGCACACGAGCCACACCAATCAGAAGCCCCCTTTCCACTCCTGGGACATGCCGAGTTCTTTCCCACCTCAGGGCCTTTCCACCTGCTGGTCCCCTGCCTGGCCACTAGCCACATACGGCTATTTAAATTTAAATTAATAGTCACTAAAACTCAAAATGCAGTTCCTCAGTCACAATTTCACCCACCACATTTCAAGTGCTCAGCATCACAGCAAAATGCAGACCATGTCCATCAGCACAAAGGCTCTGTGTGAGCATCACCGGTTTAGAATACTCTTGGCCCACAACTCTCTACATTGCTGGTTCTTTCGCATCTTCAGGTTTTATTTCAAATATCACTTGCTTACAGCATTCTTCTGAGCACCCGACCTCATACAGTAACCCCACTGCGGTCAAAGCCCGGCGCCTTGAAGCCCCCCCGCGCGTTGGCATGCTCTGTATGCTGAGAGCAGGAATCTCTTCTGTCTCACTCACACTTTTATCCTCGCCTCTAAAACAATGTCTGGCACACAGTAGGCACTTCATAGGTATTTGTTGACTGAATCATTATTTCAAGATTACCGAGCACAAAGCCTGGCACAAAATGAGGAACTCACTAACGTTAAACAGAGCCCAAACCAGCCCAATCCGTTGATCTGCGGACAAAAAGAGCCATGTTTAGATTAAGGACCTTATCCATAGTCCTACCCATGCTAGTGGTTTCCTTTATGTTACTGCTTCTCACACTTCAACGCATGCATGAGTCAACCTAGGGATTTTTGTTAAAATGCAGACTCTGATTCGGTCTGGGCTGGAGCCTGAGACGTTGTATTTTTAATAAACACTCCAGGGCTGCTGCTGCTGCTGGTAGGCAGACCACACTTCAAGTAGCAACGCACAAGCCAGGGACTTATCCCCGCAACCAAAGATGTTTGCACTTACTATGCTTTCAGCCTGTACCAACGCTTGGCAAAAACGAACTTCCTAACATTACTATCCTTTGCGTAAAGGCTACTCAAAGTTCAGTGGACTCTCGTTCTTCACGGTAGTTCTGCTGTAGAAAGTAGAACAAAATGCTTACTTTGTTCCCAGGGGAAATGTGGGGTTAGGTGGCATGAGCCTCTGGCCACAACATTTTCATCAACAGGCCAATGTAGAGCCTTGTTTTAGGTGTTTGTTTAAAGCAGGGGCGGGAACATCCTGGCCCCGCCAGGGCATTGGGGTGAGTTATTAAATGATTGACCATTGCCCTGGCCGGAGTTTCCCAGTGGTTAGAGCACTGGCCTGCGAACCAAAGGGTCGTGGGTTCGATTCCTGATCAAGGGCATGTACCTGTGTTGCAGGTTCCTGGCCCCAGCCCTGGTGGGGGTGAGTGTGGGAGGTACCAATTGATGTGGCTCTCTCACATCGATGTTTCTCTCTCTCTCCCCGCCTCCCTTGTACTTGCTCTAAAAAAAAAATATATATATATATATATATATATATATATATATATATATCAATGGAAAAATATCCTGGGGTATTAACCAAAAAAATAAATGTCTGGCCAAATACAGCAGGCTAGTTTTTAAGTTGATAATTTTGTATGGCCCACGAATGATGTTATAAATATCCGAATGGCCCTTGGCAGAAAAAAGGCTCCCCACCCTGGTTTAAATCCATCTTATGTAATAAATGTTGGTTCATTACCAACGAACTTTCAGCCAACAACACGAGTGCCTGAACGAAGGAGGAAATGCATATGCACGGCACCACCTCCCCGCAGTTAGGAAAGCTGGACAGCACCTCAGCACTGTGCTCGGGGCCGTTTACACGGTGAAATCACCAACAAAGAACACAGGAAGGTGAAAACTGTGGCGGTGAATATACTGTGAGGTAAACACTCTATGGAGACAACATGGCTTGTAGTATAAGCGTTTCAAGAAGCAGAACATCTTGCTCAACCTCAACTGGGAGCTGTGCGCCAGGCCCTCGGTGGCTGCCTCTCCCTACGTGTCTGCAGCAAAAGCAAAGGCGCTGCGGGGCTGACTCTGGAGTTATCAATACCCTTCGCGAGCAGGCACTTCTCCGTGCAGAATCCGCACACGAGGACTGACTGTACCTCCTTGCAATGCCCGGGGCTGCCGGCCTCCCTCGGCAGGGGCACAGCCCCACTTCGGGGCTTCCTTCCTCACACCCTTTGGTCACCAGGGCTGCCCTGTGCAAATGAGAAACGGCGCCTCTTCCTCTGGGGGGTGCAGAATGCACCGCCTGGTGAGGGGCGTGGGCTGGACCTCAGCTCTGGTTCACCCAACCAGGTGCCATTACACAGGGCACAACCTGCTCCAAACACATGACCAGCCCTGCAGATCATACCTCTTGACCTTTTCTTTGCTTTTTAGCTGAAATGTGTAGGTCTTTTAAATTTCCCTCATATGGAAGAGTTGGGTCAGAAACGGGGAGCAAGATATGGGGGTCGGAGTCAGAATATGAGAGTGGGAGCCGGAGAGAAGTGGTACGGGGCGGCCGTGGCTGCCTGCCGGGGGGGCTCTGACCTGAAGCTGGTAGGCCAGGTCGGCCTGCGCGCGGCGCGTGTTGACCTCGATGTCATAGGTGGCCTTCTTCAGCTCATAGTCCCTCTGGGCCTTGGCCATCTCGATCTCACTCAGGTACTGAGCAGACACTTTCTCCTGCTTGGCTTTGGCCTCCTGTCCATACAGAGACCAGGTGTGGCTTCAGAGCAGGGTGGGCAGGCCCCGGGGCGAGGGCTGCTTCCCACCAGCTCCCCTACCTCATCTATTTCCTCTCCAGCCCAGTTCCATCAGCCCCCATTGTGCACTCCCCCCAAGTGCTCAAGTGCCACGGGGACCACAGACCACCCCCCGACCTCTCTCTCTCACCCGGATCCCAGCATCTCGCTTGGCCTCCGCTTCTCCAATCCGAGCATCTTTTTGGACTTGAGCGGTCCGAGCCTTCCCCAAGGAGTGCAAGTAGTCCTGTGGGAGAGACGCGGAAACTGGAGTCCTGAAGAGGGTGTGAGAGAGGAGCAGGGGCAGAGAGGGCACCTGTGCAGGATTACCTGGTCGTCATGAATGTCCTTCAGGGTGTAGCTGACCACACTGATGCCCATGTTCACCAGGTCTGAGGAGGCCACTTTGAAAACCTGCTCTGAGAACTTCTGCCGGTCCTTATAGATTTCCTAGGACGGAGGACGGTGGGAGGAGGAACTTAAGCTCTGGGTCCTCTGGCTCCGGCTCCCACAGCTGGCTCACCCCCGCCCCCGCCCCCGGCCCCGGCCGCCAGGCCCACCTCCACAGTCATGTGGGCCATGATGGCCCTCTGGTGGCCCTCCAGCGTCTCCAGGGCGATGTGCGCGATCTCAGCCTCCGTCTTCCCCAGGAACATCTGGCAGGCGGCCGCCAGCATCTCTTTGTTCTGCCCCTGGATTTTCACCTGCAGGCAGAGGAGGGGTGGGAGGGTGAGGTGCGGTCCGGAGCAGAGAGGACGCAGGGAGGAGAGAGGAGGAGCCAAGGGCTTGGAGAAGACGCGACTACAGAGCGGGCGGGGGCGAGGACCCCGGGAGAGCTCTGAAAGCCGCACCTGGGCGATGCCGGTGACGGAGATGGGGACCCCATGGCGCGTGTAAACCTTCTCACTCTTGACATTGAGGGTCAATGTGTTGAGAGAGATCCTAGAGGGAAAGAGAAGGGGGCAGTGAGAAAAGGAGGAGAGCGGAGGCGGGCCTCGGGCTCCCCCTACCCACCTCTGGATCTGCTGGATGCAGGGCAGCACGAAGACGCGGCCGCCGGCCACCATGACCGGGGGGCTCCGGCAGAAACCTGCAAGGCGGGGGCAGGGGCGGCGTCGCGCTGGGATGCGGGGATGCAAGGGACTAGGGAGCTGGGGGGGGGATGGGACCGAGGGGTGGGGGTGG